GAGGGCAGTTTATACCAGGTCCCAATAGCCGTCAGATTGAGCCTGGACAGAAGTGCCTTTTGGGAAACAAGGCTATGCGAAATCTAACGAAAACGTCATGTTTTCTCATATCCTCGTAGAGCATTCAACTAGCAGTCCCCTTATCTCGCCCTACCTACCTACCTATTAAGGTGTGTGTGTGTGTGTATGTATGTAAATAATCATGATAAAAGTGGGTTGACCTGGTTACCGCAACTCAGTCATGTTGGTAGGAAGACCTGGAGCAACGCATCTTGTCCGGAGTTCATTGTATGCATGATCATTTAAAAAGTAGGAGCGTGGACGTGGTACATTCACAGACGTTTCGCCGGCATCGTCAGTGCGTCTTTCCATTCTTAGCACAACACAATAATCCATCAAAGCGACAAGTCCAGTTGATGTATGATGCTAAGAGTGGCAAGACTCAGTGAGGATGCCGGCGAAACGTCTGTGAATGTAGCCGATCCACGGTCCGATTCGGGAAATGTTCCTGAACTCCGGACTAGGTGCGCTGCTCCAGGTCTTCCTACCAACAGGACCAAGTTGTGAAAACAAGGTCGAACAACTTGTTGGTTGATTTGACCGAATTCTGCTTTCTGTGGCTGACAAGTGCTTCTGTAGAGGTGACATGTTCGTCTGACATTTTCCCTCGCCCCACATGTCCTGCTCACCGTTCCGTTGGTGCATGTTTCAAGTTCAGCTCATCGTAAAGAACGGCAGAGCCAGCTGGACTGGACGATCGTCACCAAGTTGGGAGGTTATTGGATCACCTGTTTTGTGGTTGGGGCATGGATTCGACTGAGACGCTGAACGACGCGACTCGTGCACAAAGAAGCCTGGCCGTTTGCTCAAACCGTGCTCGAATCTGAAAAGCCGAATCCTGCTACTACTGGGGACTGCACAAGCCATCAAGTCACTCGACTAGCAAGTAATGAAGAGAGTGTAGTGCAGAGTGAAGTCGACCTGAGGTCTCATCGTGCCTTGGAGACGGGTGCTAGAAGTGGTATCGAAGAGAGGATGGGCCCACGGTCTCTCAAGTCGATCAACCACATTTGCCCCGACGACACGGCGCACCGTTGGCCGAGGTGGTAGAGAACATCGCACTTGCACGCAGATTTTGTCGTCTTATTTTCGTATTTGAGTAGAGTCGTGACTACCAGTAAATCAGTAGTATGAGATGTTTTCACCCTATTTCGTTTAAAATGTGAATTTCAAGGAAGGCCAGGCCTTTTGTCATTACATATTCTTTTGGTGGAATTGGCGATGAAGCAAATGTATATCTGCTATCACAATCAACTACTATACTTTATTTTTCGAATTTATTATTGTTTTCATGACTACCAGTAAATCATAATATGAGATGATTTCACCCAATTTCGTTTAAAATGTGAAGTGCAAATGTGAATTTCAACGAAGTTCAGGCCTTTTGTCATATCATATTTTTTTGGTGGAATTGTCGATGAAGCAAATGTATATCTGCTATCACAATCGACTACTATACTTTATTTTTCG